AGCGTGGTCCCACGCAGGCAGCGGGGGAGGCGATGCGCTCCGACAGGAGCGGAGCTCGGCGGCAGCAAACGAGGGTCATGCTTTACACGTTTTAGCAGACGTGCAAGATCCCAGCCGCTGCTAGAGCCACGCTTCCACCCTGTTCAGAGAGGTACCCCTATTTCCTAACTTGCAGCAGGCGCTAGAAAGGTTAAAACTGAAACTGAGACTATTTTCTTTTTTTCCGTCCCCTAAAGCAAATCACCTGTATCCAGAAAAGCAACCTGCAAGTCTGCTGGCAGTTTTACCCAGAAGCTTGGAAGGATGAGGAGACTGGGGTCATCACAAAGTTACTGCTGGAAAATTAAACCGGGCAAATTCGGTGCTTGCTGGTTTGGTTTTTAATCCCTGCCGAGGGGTGCCATAACATCTGGCTGCTGCGTAGCTGGTCCTGCCCTGGGGGACTGGTGCACACAGAGATGCCCTGCGACAGGAGGAAGCCTGGATCGGCACCACGCGCCTGGAAAACCAGCACGTCAGGAGGCGGCAGCCTCAAGGAGTGGACACAGAGTGGACTAAGGTAAGGGTGAGAGGCCTGCTACATCCCTCTTGACGGCGTAACGAAGGACATTTAGGAAAACATTGTCTTGGTACCACCCCCTCCAGCTGAAGAAGGACACGGGACACATCCAGCTGTAGCGCTGGACCAGGAGGTACGGGACAGTACTGAGGAGAAGTCAACAGCCCAGGCTCCAAGGCTGATGCTCCGTATCTGGAAGTTATCTCCTACCCTGTTCACCTCAAGAGCAGTGGTTGACTCTAAAAACCGAGCACGCCTACTCAAGAGGATTCAGCTGATGCCTTTGTGGTACTGAGTACAGAACACGGCCAGCAAACCAGCCGCAAAACCTCATTTTCTACCATCACGCTGGAGGTGCAGAGGCACCCGAACTGCGGGGATGAAAAGGTGGGGAGCGTGTCCAAAGACAGCGGAGACACACACTGGATTGTGGCGAGGACCCGGTGCTTCAGGTTACTGAAATACGGAAAGGGTGGCGCGTCTTACCTTGTCAGAGGACTTGCCTCTTCAAGCCCGGCCCCGCGGTCCCCAGGCTGCCGTGCTGTGAGCGTCCCACGAGCACAGCCTGAGCACGAAGCCCAGCTGAAAGCCTTGCCTGCTCCCAGCCAGCCCGGAGATGCTGCAGCAATCGGAGCTCACCCCAATCAGCTGTGGGCACTCGGGGGTCCAGGGGCACGCCACTTCCAGCCAGGACGGGATGCTGAGGGCAGGACACGGCCCTACTCGGTTTCAAATACACATCCTTGACAACAAAACCTTGTTAGGCTCCTCAGTGAACATGAAATATTCTGCAGTTTATGGGACTTCACGCTATAACTGCATATATTCATTTAAAATCAAATTTGGCTTCCAATTAACTGTTTAGTCTATTAGAGGTAGATATTGCAGGTGAAGAAGATTCCAGATGCCCAAGTGTCCCTCATCACTGACAACACGGCAACTCGCGTGCTTCCACTTGCAAAGGACATAACAAATAGTTGTGAGCAGATCAGTAGGCTTTTTTTATGTTTAAAAAAACCCCCCAGGCTGTTGCTGCTGAGCCTGGCGGAGCCGAACGCGCAGCTAGACTGAGCAGGGGACGAGGGGAGGCAAGCGGGCCAGCTTGGGAAGAGAGGCGGGTGGTTGCATTTGGGAGGCTTTGTAAACGGCAACTCATTCCCCTCACATCAATCACTTACAAGTAGCAACGGAGGACACAAAATGAACAGAGAAACAGCAAATTTTGCAAAATAGGTATATTTTAAAATTTGAACCAAGTACAGTTGGCATGTATTGCATGAATCACGTGCAGGTGAATGCTATAAAAGATAAAAATACCTGTGCACTTACTTTATAAATCCAAGCGTTTATATATAATTTATAAAATTCTCATAGCATAAAATAGCTGTGATTCAGAACAGCAATTTTACAGATAAAACCGCGTGAATGTCCCAGCCAAACCGTGCCTTTCTTGGGACCAGCTGATTTCACCCCACGGGTTCAACACTCGGCTCGCCGTCAAGTTTTTTCCCAGTTTTGGTCCCCTCCCGTGTGACGTGGTCCCTCCACAGGGCTTCAACTCGGCCCTGCAGCTGTACATCATAAAGCAGCCTTAACAGAAGGTGCTTGCAGGCGTTTTAAGGCCTGACGGCAGCGCTTCTGTGGCGTGTGGGAGGGAGGGAGGGAGACTGAGGACGGGACGCCGTGGCCTTGGTGGCCCGAGTCCAGCGCTCACCAACGGGCACGTGTGAACGGGCACGTGCCCTGCTGAAAGACTCGTTGAAGCTGCTTGCGTGCACGCGTCGAGTCCACACAGCCTGATTTAAAACAGTTTATCCGCAGCCTGGGCAAATCTAAAAACGGACAAAATTTCTGCCTGCATTTCTTCTAGAGACTGCCAACCTGGCTTTAAAATCGCACGGCTCTCTCACGTGCACGTCTCCCGCTCCTCATACAAAACTCCCAGCTACATTTATTTTTTTTTTTTAACTTGATTATTTTTATCCAAGCGGTCAAACTGATGGCAAAGCACCTCCTTGACATTCTTCAGGTTAATTTTTCTTGCAGCCAGGAAGAGAAGCGTACATGGTTAAAAAGCTGGCTTTTATGTACATTCTGCCAGGGAAAGGCACAGGGGCCGTGCTTGAAGCTCCGCGGTCATAGCGTGTTACATTTTTCCAGCCAAGCAGACCACAATCACCACTGTATTTCTCAACAGCTCATTGGTCCAACAGCATATATATATTTTTTTTTAAATAAGCAGCCTGAGTTATAGCGACGACCCTCCTATGAACACTCCTTAACCGCTATTCTACAAGTGTATACACGGTATTGCAAGATGCATGGAAGACCAACCGTAACGCTGTGCAGCACCAGAAAATGATGGCATCTTATCATCGCCACACATTGTAGTCACCGGAGTCACCACTCGGCTCCTTCCACAACGCGGTTTAAGGACACTACTTGTCACCGAGCCCCTGCACGATAGGAAGGGCTTTGTCCCATCTCCTAGACAGGGAAGCTAAATCAGAGTTAAACAGTTTGAACACAAGCCTCAACATTGGGGTAACCACTCTGCTCGGTTGTATGTAGGTAAAGGATCCTTTAGCGGAGGCTTTCTTATTGCTATTCAAGATTTATTTGTTATAAATCACTTAAAATATTTTGTGTTGGATTTTTCTTTCTTCTGTTTTACTTTGTTGTTGGTTTTTTTAAAGGATTGCAGTGGATAAAACCACACACCCAGAGTTAGCCAGGTCTGGCAGTGCCGTCAGAAGACACTATGACAAGCGACAAGTACAATAATCATCAGATTTCTTTAGGGAAATGCACAGCCGTACCCAAGCGTGGCCGTCTCTGATCTCTGCCAACGCTGGTTGCTGAAGAAACCTGCCATCTTGGCCAGCAGGGCGCTCCCACCGAAGCCCGACAGCGGAAAGGTGCCAGCGCTTGAAAAGCCTCCACCTCCCTCCATCTCCACCATCACCTTCCCATCTTCAGCCACTCTTCCTTCGCCCCCGGCCTTCAGGGGATAGCGGGGCGCAGGCAGAGCTCTGCACGCCCCAAGGACGGCGCTTAGCTCTTGGCTGGTTGCCTCTTCCCCCCCCCCCCCAGCCGCTCGCTCCCCCATGCCCTAAACGCGAGCCCTTCCTCA